ACTACTTGATATTGTTGTCGTGCGCGACCTTATAAGTATAAATGTTGTTATTTACGCAGTAAGGGGTGTGAGAGTCATCACTGTCAAACCAATAGTAAACATAAGCGGATATCGATATATTGCTCAGTGTAACACATCATTACATCATATCGTGTGTGCACCAAAATGTTACATTGATACTATTGTTCTTATTTACGTGACAGTCGTAGTAAAAAATTTTTCACTGGTTAACAAGTCCGATAAGTCACGCGTATAAATGTATTGGTACTACTTAATATTATCAATTGTTGTCGTACGCAACCTCATAAGTATAAATGTCTGTTATCTATGCAATAAGGAGCGTGAGAGTCTGCAACTGCATGAGCGCTTTTGTTATTGATGTTATGACTATCATAAGAATTAGTTTAATCGCGTGACTTGTCGGACTTGTTAACCAGTGAAAATTTTTTTACTACGACTGTCACGATTGTTTCCGTAAATAAGAACAATAGTAGCAGTGTAACATTTTGGAACACACGCGATATGTGTTACACTAGGCAATATATCGATACCCGCTTATGTTTACTATTGGTTGATAGTGATCGTTGGGGCTGACTCTCACACCCCTTACTGCGTAAATCTTCTACGTAAATAAGAACAATAATATCGGTGTAACATCGGGAGCAACGTAGTAAAATATTTTTCACTGGTTAATGAGTCCGATAAGTCAGGCTTTACCATTCACGACTCTCTAATAGCCGATCGATAGACGCCAATTCTCGATAAATACGTCGTTCCTCGAGTATATTCACTATTATCCGCCGATGGGATCAGTTTCAATGGTCTATCGTTCGTATAATTCTCAACGCATTGCCAACTAAACGAGAGTAATCGCGGGACAAGAGGCAAATACTCCTGAACGATATAGGGATTAACGGTTTATCAGCTATATCGCAATTTACTAGAGAACGGATCATTAATAATGTGTTTCAGAGTATAGAAAACTACTTGTTTATTATTGGAGAGATATTATTTGAACATTACATCGAACATTTAAGAAACATGATGCAAACGTAATGCTACGCATACAACATACTAAGTTCCAAATAATCTAAAAGGTAATTATTGTACACTTCTATTAATATTGCCAGATTACACCAAAATTCCAAAATTGTCGTTTTCTGGCAGCTAATGTTTGTGATACCATCGGGATTACACAGAAATTAGAGAGGAATATACGTCATTATTAGTCTTCAAAATAGTGATGATATCGATTAGCAAAAGAGCCATGCAATATAATATCAGTGCGACCTATGTAGTATAACAATATAAGAAACTTACACGCCCACACTACAACCCACCCAACGCACCAATGCATACTACTATTTACCACAATTCTTTTGTGAGTATTTCATATTTCTTTGCTATTATCATCATGGAAATGGTTTCTATTTGTCATTTTTAACAAAAGAATAACGTTTTGTTGATAATTCCAACTTATTCTATTGAATAGATAGTAATAAGATAATTTGAACATTACAAAAGTAAAAGTCCATTTTCTATACTACACTGAACATTTTAGCTATATTATGAAAGTTGCTGATGAGGTAGTTGAATAAACAGTTGGCAAATTATGAAATTTGCAATGGTTGTCAATAGAATACTGTGCATTACGTGGTCCGAGTAAGTAAAGTAGTACCAAGATAAAGTCTAAAAATGGTTGGGCAGGCGAAAAGCACGGGTCTTCAAATGCTTATTCTTTATAACAATCTGCCATTGATGTACGGTATCGGTGCGAACGCGTGTTTGACAGTTATCCATAAACTGGCCAAATGTGAGATACAAACCAACGGATTTTCCCTAGTTTATAATAAAAAAAGAGACTATTCTAGTTAACAAATGCACCAATAGTCTCTTGTTTGACGGAAAAAAATTTTAGTATGGAATTTGTTCTTTCCATTCTTTTATTGCAAGCTTACCTCTATCTTTTATTATTAACTAACTAAATTTAATTGACATAGTTTTGAAATTAAACTTCATTCCTCTACTATAAAACTCGTAATTCTTTAGCATACGCGGTTTATTATTTTTTAAAAAACAATGTTCCAGAAACTTTTAATGGATTAATATTAAGACAATAATCAGGGCCCAGTCAATAACTTTTCTAAAATAATAATTTAGATCAAGTCGGGTCATATGTTTAGAATAATTATCTTGCTAAAACCAACATCCGTTGCCCATCAAATTATTGACCTCTGGAACATTTATTTCTAACTTAGATTTTGTATTCACATTAGTCGCGTTTGAATTGTTATTTTTTATCAATAAAGTCTTGTGGTTCAAAGTTGAGGGTTGCTTTCATTGCGACTGTAAGACTTTCCGGACCGTTAATAAGATGATTCAGATAGTGCATAGCATATTGCGTTTGTTTGTAGACGTCTGGATGCCTGCGGGCCATCTCATCTGTATACTCTACGGGTATTACGCGCATATTGAAACAAAAAATTATTGTGTATAGATAGTCTAAAAACTTGTATTTATATTGTAAACAGTATTGTCATAAAAAATTCTTGCTGTATTGTTTTTAGAAAATACAAGTAAATTGGTTGTTGTTGTTTGAGAATATTTAAATAATTGCACATAAATTTGATCTTATCATGGCGGACGCAATATACGACGAGTTGTTAGATAACTTCTCCTCACTAACTTTGCAAACCCAAAATAATGTAGACCTCAAATACATATTCAATTACATCAATAATAATTTGACTCAAACAATTGTGCTGTTTATACGCAACAACCTATATTTTGTAAACGATTGTATGTACACCTGCGACCGCCAAAACAATTTTACGGGATTGATCTCGATAAAATTAGTTATGAGCCAATGGATTATGACCAAGTGGCAATTGACAGAGTAGAGTACTTTATAAAAAATGCTATCAAAAAGAAACCAAAATTAGAAGCGTCTGTCCGGATGTCATGAATCAGATTAATTGGTTTAAGAAACATCACAAGCATTGTAAAAAAAAGCTCAAGGAGAAAAAATCATCCCCAAAATCCTTGAGAAATATCTAGATAAAGAAAAAATTACTTATGAAATTTATCAAGAAGAATGAAAAATCACGACTAATAAAAGCATTATCACCAACTCATGATGAACCAAGAAAGAAACAAAAACTAGATTTTTTTTGTAAAATTACTTTATGAACCAACCACGATATTATGGTTGAAAAAAATCAAGATGGAATGCTTAAGTCATGAGTATTAAATGTCTAAGTCACGAAAATTTTCTGATTTTCCGGTCTGTTATTAATAAGAGATAATTGCAAAAGAACTTGGCATGGCCTTTTCCATATGACTATCGAGATCCCCGTTCTTGAATTCTTTGTTCAAAATAAAAATTATTTATTTCATGTCTATATCTCACCATGTGTGTACAGATAATAAGGATATTACATAATGCAGTTCTATTCCCGTAAACTTGGGACGATAGCAAAAACGCCAGACACGTAAATGGCCTTCCCACAAATTAGAACTCGTGGACGAAAGCCCCTTGGGCCTAGCATAATAATTAGTATATACTATACATATTGATTTTTGGGAAGACTTGTGAGGACGACAAATAATGATGAATTTGATTTGCACTTCGTGTCCTCATAAAAGAGTGAATAGAGGGGATGCCAAATATATAAAAACGACGAATATTACTAGTACCGTTGAGCCAGTAATGTTTAACTGTTTGTCTTTGACTTCGAGCTTCGCGTTAACCATCTTTACAAAAGTATAAACAGATCCAATTATCGATAACCAATTACAAGCATATAAATTTACTGAGAACTTTATTTATAAATATTTTGTAATTTGTAGCAAAGATATTACACGGAGATATCTGGTACGAATACTAAATGAGTGATGCATTTATCTATAAGTAGTATACCTTATTAACACTTGCAACATACGCTCCAGTTACCCAATCAGGAGTGTTCTCTTTCGCCATATTCAACCACTTGTTTTTTGTCCACCCATTATGTCCAAGTGTCTCCCTAACTAATCCAGAGAAGTCAATTTTCAATCTATCCATATCACTCTCGGCCGCATACGATACATCCAATCGCCAAGCGTTTGATTCCCATCCGCTTACTATCTTCACGATATATCGATGATCATGCGGGAATGGTTCGGCTTCACCGATTGACCACTCGCTCACGTTGGCCGAGAATGAGATTACTGTCCAGACTAACGTTGGATGATAAGACATAAGAGTAAGATGACGTGTCTTAGTAACCGAGTCATAGGATACCCTGGAAGTGGACAAAAGAGGAATATGTTGATTCTCTTCAATCGAAAGCGATCTATTGAAAGGAACTGGTATTGTGTATGACTCAAGAAATTGAGAGAATGGATATATTACATCCCAATCACGGGTTTCTTCCGTGTGGGTTTTGAATATGCTTTGGGCACTGAAGCTTTCTTCGAAGGTTCTAATTACAGGTTCCAATGGTCCTTGATCTGCATGAGCTATTTGCAGCTCAGCTGTATTAGATGTGAGATTAGTCACATATTGAACGTATCTGAGAGATAAAGCAAGAAGTGAGCCCGAAATAATGTCCGTTGTATACTAACGTTAACATGGATACAAACATATCTAACACTTACATTCTCTTTGGGTGCATTTCGTCATACGGAAATACGCCAGGATATACACCAAACACTATCAGAACCGCAGTACCAATTATCCCAAACGTTACCAACGACTTCTGTAGCCCTCTCCTACCAAATCGATGGCTAAATGCATTCAACGACGGAAACAGAAGGAAGACAATTATGCCAGTTAATGTCCCAACAATGTTATCAACAGCAGCATCTACTCCTGTACGGCCAGTCAACGGAACAAATAAATCCAACAAGCTAAAAGTACCATCACCAAATAGAAGAGTTGGTATGATTTGAGCCACCATATACGTCCCCAGATGTATGTTATTTCTATCTCTTATCAGAACGTCGTTGAAAAACAATCCAGCTATGAATGCAACGGTAAATAGCCAGAATACGAAAGATGAAGCGATTTCAAAATACGTTGTTATCGCCAAACCCGTTGCCCAGAAGACAAGAGCAGAGAAATAAGCGAATCTCTCCAGCCGACGCTCCCCGAGTGAAAAGACCATTGTCGGTATTAAGTTTCTAAATAGCAGTTGAGACAAATATATTCCTATAAGTGCGAAGGGACCGTACATAACAAGTGGAAATAGTTCGTTGGAGAAATATAACATTCTTTTGTCTAATATTACCGTATACACTTTAGCGATAATATTGGGAATTGCTACACCTAATATCAGACCCACAGCGACTGTCGAGGCTCCTAATCCAAATGATAATACGTCCTTAATCCTCCTCGATTCCATTATAATCAAGATGCTAACTATGAAGATGGTAGCCCCGTGAATCAATTGGCCTGTCTTCCACTCATAAACTATAAAGTATTGCCCGAGCAAATCGTAATAAATAACATTCGAAGTGAATTTAAGATTTGTAAGATCAGCCTCGGTGGTAAGAAATTCGAATAATGCCAAGCTATTATCTCCCATGTGTTGAACCGTGCCAGGTGTTATGCTTTCCAGTTTGTCGAGTGGTGTGTGATAGAAATATGAGTTTTTGTAGAGAGCCATATCGAGACCAGTCAAGTTGCCATAATCGACAAATTGTCTAAAGTCGGTATCTGACAGAATAAGTCCTGTTCTGAATATATCATTCGCCTACCGATCGCCGCAAGCAAATACATTGAAGATTAGAACTAACACATAGACTTTAGCATTGAAGGATGACAAATAAGTTACCGTAACAGTTCCATGTGGGTAGGGAACAGCTTGATATGCTTGGATCATTTCAAGCGAATTAGCTTGGAAGAGAATTTCACGACCATATTGACCACACGCCTCAAGATTAACAACTGCCCGAATAGTATCTTTGTATGGATGTGTCGTTATGAAGTGATGGCTTGCATCTTGTAAGCTTTCCTCTGCACCATTGAACACTGATCATACACGCAGTGATACATTAATAGTAATATGACGTAAAAAAGGACTAGCGGGCATTGATATACTTACGAAATACTGCTGCGTTTTTTCTTTTTGTTTGACTTTGACTCATCACACGGATCAGTTCCAACATAACCGCAACCCCCACGCCATCATCAGCAGCGCCTACCCGTTGAGTCATTGTGAATAACCCAACCTATTGACAAGAAGGTAACCAGAAACATAAGTAATCAAATCGAACCTGGACTAGCCAAAGAAGAATCTAACACATAAAAGTTTAAATTAGCATTCGAGCGATAACAACAGTAATACAAAATCCGTACAAATATTCTCACCAAAATGTGAGTTCATCAATATCGCATTCTTATTACATTCGGGACCACATGAGAGACGCACGACCAAATTAGTCACATTAACGTAATGCTTCATGACCACTAAATGAAAAGTCCATCGTTAGTACATTCGATTATCATTATCGAAAAATATCCTTCTCACCTTTGCTCATCATATCAAATCTATGAGAACCAGTTCCGATTTGAACATCGACATCAAATTCCGGTGCATTTGGATTAGCTCGAGATAGTTGACGATACTCTTCAATTAATTCCAGAAGATAATCCAAACTGCTCTTCTCTTCTCTTGTGCCTTATTAAAAACATCAGTCAGCCCTTTGTAGAATATTGAATTAGACGCTGTTGTTGTAATCACAGGCTTACCCACGATGCGATACCCTATGTCCTCCGAAAGCACTCTAACAATCTCTCGCGCATTTTTCTCAGAAAACACAGCTTTTCCGTTCGGTCCATAGCTCTCCTCGACAGGCGTCGGGAGTGTATAATGTAAGTAATATGCAAGGAAAAGTAACCCAGCAAGAAATGTTACAAGAAGTATGTTTGCCGGAATACAAGGTAGCACTCCATGTATGTGAATGTTAGATCTGTGAGACTTGTCATTATCATAATCTTTGGGAATTTCGTTGTCTGCAGAGAATTCGGAAGTTTTCCCCGGGTTTCGACGTTTAATGTTCGCTGTATCGGACATGGATGAAGTAAAGACTGTGTTTGTTGATGAAAGTCTCTTGTCGCGACCCCTATCGCGCGTCGATCAGGGGTTTGTATAGCTAGAGTAACAATGGTTTAATTATTTGTTATGTAGCGAATTCCGTCAGGGGGTAATGTATTAATAATAATTTGAAATTTATTACGTAATGAAAATTTTATTTATTTTCGTTTGTGCATATTCTATTCTAACACATCCCCGCCCATATGTGATAAATCATCCAAGTCGTCAAATACAGCTCCTCCTAGATTAGCAGCATCAAGTATAGCCTGCAACTCACTCCCTCCATCTGCTGATAAATCCTGCTGCAAAGCAAACGTTGACAAGCCTTGTTCATCATCAACTACGCCATCCATACCATGTAATAGTTGCTGGGTGGAGGAATTTAAATTGCCACCCATGTCGACATCGTCGTCGTCCTGTTCAAAGAGTGCGTGATCGAGTTCTACAACCGTTAGCGGTTGATGAGGCAAGATTACAATATCAAGGTCTTTGTTGAATATTGATTGAATAACATCCAGGTCCTTTGAAGGAGGTTGAAAAAGGATTAGTTGAGACTGGAAATCGGTGGTAAAGAGGTAGTCTATAAACGCAATACCTCGATACTCTGGGCGCTCTTCAAATCGTTTATGCCCTTTGACAAAATATTTGTATTGCGATTCCATTCCTTTATTTTCTCTTGGTGTTCCTTTTTCAGCCGTTCGATCTCTGATTCTATTTCCGTCTGAAGGTGAACTATTAGAGAAAGTTGTTATACGGCAAAAGTCTAAATACCATACTCACCAACTCTCGTTTCTTGTCTTCAACGTTTATCGAAGCATAGACGGACTCTGGTTCGGGTATAGCACCTGAACAAAATATCGTGTAAGCTTTACTAACAACAAGTAGCGACAACACAATCACATCATATTCTTACTGATCGGAAATGGAGAGAATATCTCTGCTAAAAATTCATGGTGCCTCTTGTATCTTTGAATTGCAACATCCCGAGGTCTTTGACTATCAAGCTCATCTAATACGATAAAATACAATAAGTAAAAGATCATAAAGCAATCGGCAACATATAATGAAGTCAAAAGTTACCGCCAGATATGTCTTCATCAGAAGGTGACTGCGAGGCCGCAGGTCCTTTTGGCTGTCAGCACACAACAATATAGAAATTAGTTATTACTGTACATATCCCGATCATTGATCGTGCGCTATTCATTTACCTTTCCCCGCGGTCTCTTTTGTGGAGCTTTCGAGTTTACCGAAAGTGGCTGCATCATGTTTCTATTTGGAGGGATAGGTTGACGATGCTGATATTGCCCATATAAATTAGCAATAGGTATGCCTGGCGCCATTACCATTGATTGCATACGATTCAGTGTTGCTGGCTGAACTGTGTGAACGGGTGTTGACATCTGCATGTTCGTCGGTTGGTATGGTCGCGCAAAACTTGGTGTTAAATGAGGAAGCCGATGATGTCCATAGGATCTAATAAGTGCGTGATTAATCGGTTTGGCAACTGTAAAGGAGATGCAAAGTTTAGTTTAATTTATGATAAAGCACCACGCCCGATATTACTTCTAGGGATAAAGTACCCTCGATTCTTGTATGTAGATACATGATAAAACAGTTAATGACAAGGTACAAACAAGTGATTTTGATCGGACGTCGATCTGCCAATAAAAAGACGAACGATCGATTACCTTCATCCAGTTTGCCATAGTATAATAATTGTAAATTCTCAGGACCTTGTGTTAGTCGGTACCTTCGTCTCATCTTTGAAGTATAAAGATCGCCAGGTGCGAACCCGTGCTTTCTTTCTGCCCAGAGCAATTCCTAAATAAGTAACAATTTAACGCAAACAGCTTAAGCATTGTTCCAGAACCTAATTTCTAAATATCAAAAACGGTATCATTTCCCTACCCGACCGTCATTTAACGTTATCTTGTATACTGCTTCATTCTCCATATAAATATATCTAAAAAACCACGTTTGATTAGGAATATCTCGATTGTATTTCAGCAGTATTAAGAACATAGTTTATAAAAAGGAGACGTACATAGTGAGTCTCTACATACCCATCACTTGGCAGTTCTTCTGCATTTGGGGGCATTACAATCAAGTATATTTTCCCCTCTAACCATAAAAGAATTAATAATCATATGAGAACACGGACAGTACTTGAAACATGGAAAATAGAGCAAACACAATACACAGGCTTTCCAAGGGATCTAATGGCCAATGATTGAGTTTTTTATTTAGATTCTAAAAGCTCTAGAAGAATTTCTCAACCCTTGCAGAAAATCCTTTGCCTCTTACAAGATTTCCTTTCTTTAAAGTACCTTGTGGTCTATCTATGTAAGCAACCTGAAACGCGATCTGGTTGATTAAGGCTGCAGCCTTACTCAGAGACTCTACGGCCGTTTCGGGTGTAAAAATGGGATACAGGGGATAGTCTATCTTTGCCACTCGGAAAAGATTCCTGGCGCGATTTGGATCCATCCCACCTCCCGGAGTGACTATAAGTCCTGATGCCATCTCTAAAAAAATTTTAGATCTATTCTTGGTGTGGAAATAAAATGGTTACTTATTTCCGACAACCATACTAATACTAAATACTAATGCTAACGCGTTAGATCATACACGTGACCCAATGGAGAATGATTGTGACCAAACTCTGTCTTAAAGAACGGATATTGGTAAGCCACAATGAATGAGTGAATAGTAAGTCTTTATACGTACGAGAATTGTGACAGAAACACATTGAATTAAAACTGACGGGAAAGCGTTTGTACAGGGGGCAGGTAAATTGTCTTATATGGTGTGTTCTTATTAGTATTAGCCACAACGTTAACTAATAATCGTCTAGTGAATTAATTGCAAATTAACTCTTTTTAAACACATGCATATTAATATTAAATATTAATACATTATTTTCAAAAGTAAATCGGCATTCACGGTTTCCTATTCACTGAAACTCCCGCAATTTTATTTGTGAAGACTCAAAAACTAAACTAATAAACAAGACACTTGCAACAAGTTCATTGTCTAGATTGCAGAAAGAAACTTCTTTTAATTTAACCCGAATAACCTATTCTCCAATTCAACGCCACGCGCTATTCCCAAACCGAGCTGTTAATCGCGAACTTTTCACGGTACTCCTTGAATTAGACGTTACTGATGCAGGCGTCTCGAGCGCTGCTGTTGACGATGATGCTGTCGGAAAATTACGAGATCTGGTAGATTTAGCGGGAGATTCGTTTCGTGACATAACGCCTGTCCTGCGTGCTCTTATCCTACGTGCGGTGAAACGAGCGTTGGTAGTCGCCGATTGATTCGTTGTTGAACTCCATTCTAACGTGCGAAAATCAGATGCGTTATGACAAGAATTCTATAAAGTTTTGTAATTAAACAAATATTAGACTCACTTGAGAATCCAGTTCCCGGTGTCCGCAGCGACAGTATCGATTTGGGTTGTAAAGTTGTCGTTGTTGATCGTCTAGATTGAGGATTCTGGTCAATTTTTGTAGTCAAAGGGTTTAAAGTGTTTCGTCCGGCCAAAGTGTTTCGTCCGGCTAAAGTGCTTCGTCCGGCTAAAGTTAGTCTCTTTTGTTGTGGAGTAGCTTGTGAATTGGTCTTATTCAAGGAATTAGACCATGCCTGAAGGGGTTGTCTTTCCATATGTTTAGAAGCTGTTCCTTTTTCTGTCTGAACCGGTTTGGCTGATCCAAACTTGTAAATCTCACCAACAGTCTCCCTCGATGCCTTCCTACCTGTAGTCGGTACCCGGGATTCTGGCGATCGCGAAGGTGATTTAATGCGCACAGTATATGATTTCTTCGTATTGTTATATGTAGGCTCTGGTTGGGAGACGCTTTGAGCAACATCTTTTGTTTTCTGAGCTCTAGTCCTGTAAGCATATTTATATGAAGCCATTTGTTCGAGTGTTTTGTCGTTTAGTCGCGTCCATCTTCTGCTTGTTCCAACATTAGATACATCCTCGACGCGAGTTTCTGCATGTTCATTAAACAAGCATCTTTGCGGTGTTTGATAGGATAGCGTAATGTCCTGGGTTGGCTGCATTACTAGTTTATCTATTGCTTTAACGTCATCTTTTACCCCATTCAAATCTAAACATGTTTCCTGAGGGTTCTTGCACGGAGTTTCCTGAGGTATCTTGCACGGAGTTTCCTGAGGTATCTTGCAAGGAATTTCCTGAAGAGGCTTGCAAGGAGTTTCCTGGGGTGTCTTGCAGGGAATTTCCTGGGGTGTCTTGCAGGGAATTTCCTGAGAGTTCTTGCAAGGAGCTTTGACTATAGCACTACTAATTACAGCCGATTCTGATGTCTCGCCAGAGTTGAGTACTAAAGTCTCATTATGCGTCCACTCTTTTTTGCTGACAACAGGTTTATAATCATAATCTTCATGATCCTCTCTTTCTGATAGCCGTCTTTTAGTAAAAATCAAAGGCTTTTCTATACTTATTTTAATCTCTTCTAACAACTGTGTACATTCTTCCACGGGATCCTTGCTCGAAACTCCTATAACAGGTAAGGCTGCAATTCGATCAACAGCTTTAGGTAAGCCCAAGGCCTTTGTCCACTCTTCCAAAACGCCCATTATCTCTTCGACAATATCCCTTTTTGCTGGTATCGCATTTTCTTTGTTCGCTGAGCTTAAACTTGAGGCAAGCATTAAACTCATGCAATAAAACAGGTGTAAAATAAAAAAGTAAAAATAAATTGTGCTCTACCTGTTTTCTTTTTGGGATTTAAACGCGTTTACGACTTTGGTGACTTCGTGGATAATGCCTGTGTCATCGAAGTCTTCATCGCTGTTAATAGTAACGTCCTCCCAAAGTTGTATGCCGATGTTGTCTTTCGAATTAATATAAAATGTAGACTTTAAAGCCAATGCCGCATAAATAAGATAGCATGGACTGTTTCATTATAGATCAAGCTCACCATCGTTTAATCGCTTAAATAAAGCCAAGCTTTCTCGCATTCTGTTTACTCTGTTTTTTCCTTGTAAGTTAGGCGGCGAATCGTCGAAGAATTTATCAACTACCCATAAATAAGCACAAAATTACGGACCACGGAAAAACTTACTAAGTCAAAAGTAAATACAGAGCCCAAAACCAAAAAGCATTCGTGCCCTAATTTGATTCTATACCTTCGTCCGAAAGCCTTCTGCTCCGATCCAACAGGCGTTCCAATTTGGTATAATCTGCACTCGATTCTGAATCGCTAGGCATCAAAAGGGAGCTTCGGTTTCCTGCGATTATCGCTTCCAAGTCTGCTGTAACATTATCCATTGCTTAGACAGAACAAAAAGTGGTATTTATCAACAGATCGAGTTTGGAATAAACGCGTGTGACAGAACACGTGAAAGATGATTAACGCGCGTAAATATGGTGTGATAGGCTTTTTTGTTTTTAGGAGAGTAGTTAGTTATTCGAATATCGCAGTATAAAACGGCCGGCTTTATGTTGGTTCAAATAGTCTTATGATCAAAAAGTGACGTTTAATTTCATAGTTTCTCCTTTTTTGGACGTCCCTTACCAAATTGATACTCTTGCAAAAATTATTCGCTTAAGCTCCTGATCTAAACGCGATTGGATGACGAAAGTCGCGTATTCGAGCGACGATCTGATGATCAAATCACGATTGTTGTTAATTTCAGTGTCAATTCGAATGTTGTCATAATTAATATCGGATACGTTATAATTGTGATGATGAGATGGGGTCGTGTTTGCGTTGTTATTCGGTTAATAATAAGTTTGCGAATAAATAATATTATGTACCTATGGATGGGAAGCGATGATAAAACGTCGATCACGCCGTCGCTCAGCACAAATGTCCCCGAAGCTGAATGACTGAAATTAAGAATAGTTTGAAGATATATTTATGCACCTCATTAATTTATCAAGAACATATTGCCAGTAAATATTGCCATGTAATAGTTTTTCTTGTATCAATGCGAGATATCTTGATGATAAAATCCTCGTAATAAACTTAATATCAACTAAAATTCTATTTAAAGATACGTGTAACCGGGATTCTTTTTTAAATTATTTGGTATACCATACACGTCTATGTATTTTGAACATAGACTTTTCAGCTTTTTGATAATAATGAGCTAGCCGCGATATTTGATACGTGCCCTTTCACTTGTGTACAAAATTAACGCCTTTCAAACAATAAAACAAAGCCTAGTACAGTTATATTTATTTAATTCACAGGTTAAACGTAAATACGCTTTATTAAATATAGAATCTGTGTTCAAGTTAATTATTCGGTGATGATTAACGGGAGTGTATCAGGGATGCATAAATCAATGCTTTATCTTTTAACCGTATAGACTTTATCGCGTTATATACGGTTTGTAACCGATAATCAACAGTTAATATCTTCACTGCAGCCGTTAACTCTATTTGGGTAACTTAATCCTTTACATCGACGATGATGGCAAAATACTAAAAAAACTCTCTTTCAGAAATGGGGCTGATCTATCAAAATGGTACATAGATAATCATCGGAAAATAAATTGGGCCGTTTTGTGGTAATCTAAACAACTTCTCTACTCAAAGCACGAAATTGGAGGTGACGTTCAAAAACCGTTTAAATCCAACAACCTCAAAACATTTCTATTTACTTATTATTAGAGCATTAGCACTTAATATTAGCAGCAGCGAAGAATTTATTCAAGTCTTGACCGTCTTTTGTACAAGCTCATTATTTTCATAGACAGTGAGATCATTATCTTCATGATTAGCAAGCAATTGATAATTTCGTTTTCATCATGATTACAAGTACGTGTTTAAAAACGGAACCGAGAACTGACAGAATAATGCTCGCTTGCAAATAGAATTTAGCATGTTAAATTACAAAAAATATTTTAACGTTGCGGCCAAAACTACAGTATTATAAATATGAAGTAAGCGTCGTTTTAATAGAGGGAGATCAAATTTTCACTGCTAGCACGCAGCATCATATTCGTCTTTTCTCTACATAGAAAGGCTAGTAAACACTTTACTATCAAACTTCATCTAGACACTGTTATCATTTCCTTATGGTTATCCGCAATAATTATCTGCTTGAGGTCTTTCATGCTTCACAGATTTTTACTGAAGGGATAAACAATATTTAGTGGGTTGTGATGTAATACACTTCATTCGTTTAGTGTACGGTTTTTTCAACAATTAATTAAAGAGTTGGGCTCTTGATGTGTTTGATTAATATCCCTTTGTGATAGTCTCGTATTGCTATTACACGATATCAAATTTATATTCCATATCGTAATTCTTATTCGATAATTGTTATAGATCACAAATCTCAAGAGTTCCTTTTACATTTGCCTTTTGATCAATGTATTCCTTGTTTAGGCGATCGACAGCCATGGTGTCACCGAAAAATGACAATTAATAAAATGTTGGTTCTTTTTCGTAATTCCAGACATCATCATGGGGGGCAAGAAAAAGAAATCAGGTACTAAGGCGTCTACTGCTCAAAGCTCTTCGGCAGCAACACAAGCGACTGCAACCACGCCAAAGTCAGAAGATCACACGTCCTCCCAGTCACCAACAGTACCACCTAATGCTGATTTAAAAGAACAGGACGATGACCAGCAAGCACAAGAGGAACAGCAAAAGGGATTTAAGGGGATGGCAAAAAAGGATATGCAGCATGTTACTGGATACGTAGCCGAAAGAGAAGGTGAGGACATTGATCAGGCGCAATTAGACAAGGTAAGAGAGAGAGGAGAGTTGGTGAGGAACACAAGCTGGATGGTGCACTTTGAGTTTATACAGGATTCATGAATGCTAGCTAGGCAGTTTCATTTTTATGTGCTTTTGTATCTTATAGGCAATGAGCTTTGTGAATGAACAGTTTACGAAACTAAAATCACAAAAGACCCAAAAGTAATGTTCTCGCTTAGCATGACATTTGTTGCATGTTTCTTTCTTCAACCTTGTTAAGGCCTCTCTCTCTCTCTCTAGACAAAAAGTATCTGAGAAAATTTCAGTATCTAAAGAAGACATAGACCTTATTGTAAGTTTATAAATAAGATTTTGAATTCACAAATCTATGGTTCTTGAATGTCTATTAATTTTCGCCTATCGTAGGTATCTGAAATGGAAGTCACAAAAGCAGTAGCCGATCGATGTCTAAAAGAAAATCAAGGAAATGTCGTAGCTACTTTAAAAGCTATGGTTAATGGCTGAGATGAATAAGTCGAACAATAAGTGTCTGTTCGCAGTCTGATATCTTCTGTAACATCATTTTATGATTTAAATAAGTTTTCTGCAGTTATGTACACAACTCTGGTAAGGTTCGCAATCGGAGTTGACGTTGTCCTGACGGATGCCATGAACATTGGAAATTTAAAAAACGCGTCTCTGAGTAACGTTTGTGGTAATCTATTCCTCTGTATCTGAATGAAACATGTAAAATTCATACTGGTAGGCTTTATGTTTCGCGCGTTGAAACCCTGCTTGCTGTCTGGTAAATTATTGGCTGCGGAATGTTGCTCTCTTGAATTTAATGTTCTAGATAATGATGCAGTCAAAGTGTTATACAATAATTTATATTTTGCTCAGAACCTTGATATACAATAAAAAACAAATACATTTGGTAAACTTCGAAATGTTCTCCAAGCTATATAGTAGCTTCTTTATTCTTGGCATTATAGTGTTTTTTCCCCCGTTATACAAGAAAACCTCGTAATTCAATTATTACCGCGGATTTGCCTTCTTTCACTTCTGAAAAGACAATCTTAGCTATTAATACGTAATACATATATACTTATATTCACTTAAAATAAATGCAGGCAAGTAAACAGAAGAAAATATACGAGCGACACCGCTGTTAACTGCGACTAACTGATAAAAGAAACTGAGTAGCAATTAAGTTGGGAGGAGGCGGGAAGCATAATTTCGCCCGACAGTCATTTTCGCTACGATCAATTTATAATATGGATCATACTTCTCGCAGATGTTTGGATTGTACTGTTGGTACTTGTGAAGAAACCCACTTGGATTCTTGTTTAACTTGTAATAGAATCTCTTTGCACGGAGACCCTGGTACGTACCACAACCAAGACTGGCATTGCCGTCCATATTATACCCGTATGCCAATTTATTTATCGTATAATTTCAGGGATTCAAAGATCACATGACTAATTGATTATCTGATTCTACGCGACGCGTCGTCATATTAACAACACTCTCTCAACATATTTTACCTAACCATTACTGTTTTAACAATATACTCTAAAACAATGCGTATCGAAGAATTAATTATCGAAGGATTCAAGTCTTATGCTGTTCGTACCCATATTACTGGCTGGGATCCCGAGTTTAATGCCATAACCGGTCTTAACGGAACTGGAAAGTCGAATGTGCTAGATGCTATCTGTTTCGTTTTGGGAATGACCAAGCTCGGTCAGGTCGGTATTGATCAGCCATGAAGAATGAGGGCTTTGTTATCGATTGTGACGACTACCTTCTCTATATTTATCGGATTACTTGTTATCCAGCTCAGAGCAAACAATATGCAAGACTTAATTTATAAACGCGGTCAAGCTGGGATAACGAAGGCTTCAGTAACAATAATATTCAATAATGAAGACCATAGCAAAAGCCCGGTTGGATTTGAACAATTCAAACAGATAACCGTCACTCGACAAGTAATAATAAATGATCCAAAGAGTTCCATTATTACTTTTGTCTTCTCCTTTCTTATTACAATTTCTTTTTTATTTGTTAAGGTGATTATGAGTGGTCAAAGCAAATATCTTGTCAATGGTCATAAAGCTCAACAAAAAGACGTTACGACTCTATTCCAGTCTGTCCAACTTAGCATCGACAACCCTCACTTTCTCATTATGCAAGGGAAAATCACAAAGGTACTTAATATGAAACCACCCGAGATTCTTGCCATGATTGAAGAGGCAGCAGGAACTAGAATGTTTGAAGATCGAAAGGAAAAGGCCTTGAAGACAATAGCAAAGAAAGAGAAAAAAAGTTGAAGAAATAACTACTGTAAGGAATTTAAATCCTAGGCTGGTATGGCGAGATTCTACATATAATCAGTAATCATTTATTCAATTCTTAGCTACTCCACGAAGAAATTGAGCCAAAATTAGAGAAACTTCGAACAGAAAAGAGGTCTTACCTAGAATTTCAGAAAATATCAACTGAAATGGAACGATTGACTCATTTGATTTTTGCATACGAGTACAAAAAGCATGAGGTATGTGTACAGCATTCAATTTTGTTTACAAGACTAGCATTTCTAACGTTCCGATAATAGGAAAAATTGCGAAAAACAGATGCAGACTTTGGTACCAAAAAGGATAGACTGGAAGGATTACGCGCGTCCAGCAATCAGTTGAAAGTAGAAATTGATTACTTGCAGAACAATATCGAGCAGACGACATCTAAGAAAGAAAAAGCGAGTACACCCCTTCCCAACATCTGCTTTCCGTGAATTGATGTTGTTTATTGACGCTTCCTTTGTAGGAATTGGGAAATGGCAAATATAATGCATTGGGAGAACGCGTCAAGGAACTTTCTAACGAAGTTGTACGCATTAATACTAAATGCGACTTGAAAAAAGCATCAATTGATAAAGAACTGCAGAATAAACAGTCACTGATATCCAACAGGAATGAGGTAAATCGTTGCGTTTTACTATGACACAAAAACATAGATGGAGTTACAAAAAAAATCTTGCAATGTTGCTTCCAAGATGACACAAGGATTCGCAAAGAAGAAATCTGAATACGAAAAACTACAGAATAAATTTGAACAAATAAAAAAGTCACACGATGCTAAACAAGAACAAGTAAGGAAAGAAGAAGAACTACTACAAACTCTAACAACTGGTTTGTCAGCCGAAGAGGGCCATGAGAACGGATACATGGAACAACTTCAAGGCAATTATTTAGTTTTGTTTATATATAGGTTAATGTGATCGATGAATTATTTTAAACAGGTTTTTGTGTTTAATTCCTTAAACAGAGGCCAAAAGCATAGCAACTCAAGCATTAACAGCGACAGAACAAGCAAAAATACAAGTCACACATATTAAAAAGAAATTGTCGGAGTTGGAACCACTTGCCAAGGCCGCTCAAAGAGACAACAAAGGATTAACAAATGAATTGGAAACGGCTAGGAAGATTGTCAACGAATTGAAGGTATTTGTCAGTTAAGGTGTATGATCGAAACATCGCGCTCAACCAGCTATATGATTGTTGATCGAATTAACAGGAATCACTGGACGGATTGAATTGGGACCTATCCATTGAAGCTGATTTGCTAAAGAGAAAATCAGAAAAGCAAGCAATTATTCGCCAACTTAGTGAGGTAGATAAATAGAGCATTGCATATTTTCTATTCTTTAATTTACAAGATCCTAACCCGGATTCATTAAACAAACATTACCCTAATTTGGATTTAGAATTTGGATTCGTTAACATCGCAGCTGGGCGGGTTGGAATTTACTTATACAGATCCTGCACCCTCTTTTGATCGTTCAAAGGTCAAAGGGTTAGTTGCTGAGCTCATAAAACTTGACAAAAACAAGGCGACCTATTCGACGGCACTTGAGATATGCGCGGGTGATCGATTGTATAATGTATGGATTTCAATTGTCAGATTATTGTTAAATGATTGAATGGACCATCCGACAACATGAATCACACCCAATTTTTTATTTAATTAGGTGGTCGTTGAGAATGAAGTTGTTGCAACTCAATTATTCGAAAAGGGAAAATTACGAAGGCGGTTTACCTTGCTACCCTTGAACAGAATTAGACCCTATGTATTGGCAGCAGCAGTAAGTTATTGCTCGACTGATATTTCATCTATCGATTTTATCTGATGGCTTATTTTGTCATGTAAACATTTTTAAACAGAAAATCAGTGCAGCCAAAAAGTTAGCACCTGGAAAAGTGGATCTAGCACTATTACTTATTAGTGCTGATAGAGAAGTAGCTCCTGCTATGGAACACGCTTTTGGTAGCACTCTTATATGTGCTGACGCTGAGACAGCGAAAAAAATAACCTTCGGTAACGTCAAGGCCAGATCAGTCACTCTTGATGGTGATGTTTACGATCCTTCAGGCATACTTCAAGGAGGATCGAAGCCAACATCTTCTGGTCTACTGATAAAAATGCAGCGGCTGAGAGAGATTAAGTTTGAGATTAATGAACACAAACGGGAGTTGGACAAGATTAATGCAGAGCTTCAAGCTGCACAGAAGACCATTGCAAAATATAATGAACTTAAAAAGAAGTTGGATTTGAAGATTCATGAAGCCGGATTACTTGAAGAACGTTTGAGAAACAGTAGCAACTCTAAGGTCAACCTACTCCTACCACTACTACCGTTACTACTACAGCTACATGCAAAGGCTTTTCGGCTCACATTTGTATTATGTTACTTTATTTATCAACAGGTTATAAATCAAACACATGAACTTAGGCAACAACTAATTGATCAAGAGAAGCTTATAGTTGCATCAAACGAAAAACGAAAAAATGCTCTTGATACATGTAAGAAGATCGAAGCTGAAATGGATGAATTTCATAACAATCGTGAATCTAAATTAAAAGAGATTGAGGTAATATATGGCGCGGTTTGATATATACTCAATGACATCTTTATTTATTTTATTATATCTCATGTTGTTGATTCTTAGAAAAGAGTTGCAAAAGGGAAATCAGAGCTTGCCAGTGAAAACCAACGCGTAAAAAACATGCAGCAGGAAGTCCAGATGCTACAATTGGAAATGGGTAATTTCGACTTAATTTTATGGGTGACTTATTCCGCTTACGCGCTTTTTGATTAACAAGCTTGCACATTTTATTAGAACAGACCGAAGAAGAAATACAAAACGTAGATAAAGAGATTCAAACTTCAGATGAAACAATACGAAAGTTAACTGAAGATAAAAACACTTTAAAAGATGAATTGTCTGACATACAAGTCTGTACTGCTTCAACATATCCGCGCTTGTTTTCATTAGTTTGATCTCTGCTGATTATCGCTTGGCCTTGATTATCTTCCGCATAGGAGCTACTTAGCAATTCTCAGAACGAGCTACAAAAGGAAAGCGAGATGATATTTGCCTTTGATGAGGAGATAAAGGAACTCCGTGCTGCAATCGAGGCCAAGAATGCACAAGTGACTGATATACAATTAGAACTGTCGAGCATTTTACATGAAGTGGAACGTTCACAGAAAGAAAAGCGTGATGCAGAAAGAGCAATCAAGAAAATGGAAGATGATTTGGAATGGATTTCGCAGAAGAAACAGTAAGTCTAACTGTCAATGGTTATGCATATGTATTATACCGATTGTCATTAATAACTGATGATGATTACTTTGTATCAAGCTTGTTTGGTGAACCTAATACTCCATACGATTTCACAACCGTCAATATGAATGAGGCTAAACCAACTTTGCGACAATTGGAAGATCGTTATGCCACAATGAGAAAGAAAGTTAATGCGAAGGTTATGAACATGATTGAGAGGTTTGATATGAAAAGATTAGAAGAGTTTCCAGCAATAATTCGGGATGTCATTCTCAGAATTGGTTTGTTTTATGGTTTAGTGTTGAGAAGAAGGAAGCATCGCTCCAAAACATGCTTGCACAGGTGAAGAAAGATAAGAAGAGCATAGAAGATACTATCGTGCAACTTGATGACTACAAAAAGGATGCATTGGAAAGGACTTGGCAGAAAGTCAATGGGTATGTGAGAGAGTGTGGATTTTAATATATAAAGAAATTCGCTAAGATTGAGGTGTTGATATTTTTAATGACGTACGCAACTTTATAAATTTCGTAGAGAGTTTGGGCCTATATTCAACGAATTGTTACCTAATAGCTTTGCCAAACTACAACCGCTTGAAGGGAAACTCTTAACTGATGGATTGGAAGTTAAAGTCTGTCTGGGGGGCGTTCAGAAGAAGAGTTTGACTGAGCTTAGCGGTGGACAGAGGTACCTTCACAACATATGTCTTATTTATTGTAGCTTCCTTGGAACAATCATTATAAAACTAGTCACTGATCTATTGCTTATAATTTTATTGTAGATCGCTCATTGCACTGTCTCTTATTTTGTCACTACTCCAATTTAAGCCTGCTCCAATGTACATTCTTGACGAGATAGATGCAGCACTTGATTTATCTCATACTCAGAACATTGGCCAATTACTAAAATCACGGTTCAAAGGATCTCAATTTATTGTAGTGTCGCTCAAGGACGGAATGTTTAATAATGCCAATGTCTTATTCAGAACAAAGTTCCGTGATGGAACGTCTTACATTGGTTAAACGTTAATTAGTATAGTAAGTGGTATCAATAAATCGTAACAAATGTTTTGGGATCAATTAGATGTCTGTTGCGTGCTTAAGGAAATGTTGATTGCCGGAAACCATTATTTGTAATATTTACGATTTTAATAAATGGCTCGATATTTTTTAACCCAAATTTTATTAGATTCTCCCATTGCCATACTACTTAATTTTTTATCTATATTTAGTTTTATCGCGTTTGAACCTGTAAATAACGTTTGAAATTAGAGACAAGCAACAAAGGCTTTCAAAAAACATGACGTAGCCTACCAGGTCATCAATCTTTAAAAGCATTTTGACTGTTTCTGCTGCCAGTTCTATCGCACTCGTCGACACAAGCAAGGGTTGAATCACGTTCTCATCAAGAATATTGGTTATGGTGCCCTGAAAAGTATTACAAGTTTATATAGAAACATTATTGTGATACTGCTATATATAGACTGTTTAGCACGAACCTTTCGAACGTTAATGCCGGCTGTTGTCTCTCCTTTTGCGTGTCGATTTCGTAATTCCGTAACTATCGCAATTGGATTAAGTCCAGCATTTTCTGCCAATGTCGTCGGAATGACCTCGAGTGCTTCAGCAAACGCTTCAAAACAATATGCTTCCATCCCTTTAAGCGTTTTCGCATATGTAAGCAACTTTTGCGATACTTCAATCTCTGGAGCTCCTCCGCCAGCGATCAATGCTCTGCAGTATACCAGAAGCGGGTCAGTATTTGTTTCAGAACGTATCTATAAATGAGCCACATATGAATCCTACTTCTTTTTAACTAGACATCGTACTACACAAAGTGCATCGTGCAAGGATCGCTCGGCTTCTTCAAGCACTAATTGATTGCCTCCACGAATCAACACGGAGACCGTCCTTCCGTTATGCTTTACTCCAGTGACTTTGACCACACGAGCGCCCGACGTTTGAACTTCGTCAACAAGTTCTGCATAGCCAAGCTTCTCTTCTGAAAAGGATTCTATATCCGCAATTGGTTTACAGCCCGTGCTCTATAACAGCCAATAAAGTTAGATCGATGATGCATGCAACATATATACGTGAATTGATCAAACAAAAACAAAGAAAGCAAACCGCTGAAAAAACTCAACCTTGCAGATAAATTCTATCTCGTCTCTTTCAATGTCTTTAATTACTAAAATCTTCAATTTGGCCAAGAAATGCAGCGACAAGTCATTGACGGCATCTCTGAGGATAGATTTTTGAATAAACAATACATTACATCCGGCTCTCTTTATTTTTTTGCACATGTTTAGCAGATATTGTCGTTCTTCTTTTAGAATTTTGTCCATCAATCGGTAATCGTTTACAACGAGTTGATTCTCCATCTAATAAGCGGATAATAAAATAGTTAACAGTTAAGCGCATTTCTATAATAAACAATGTCTAATAGAATCAATTATACTTGCATCTGGTTTTGGTGGTGATAATTGGAATTGAACGAGACCAATCTTTGCTTTCTCGATGCGTGTCGGCCCACCGGCACTCTTGATCACATTTTGGGCTAAGACTAAACCATCAACCAACTCGGTATCATCTATAGTGCCCCCAACTTTCTTTACTATGCGGACATCTTTCAAGTCGACATTTGTAGCTGTTGTCGTGTCGATTACACGAAGAACTGAATCTACAGCAATAGGAGCAAGAAGGCCGGAGTATTGCGAAACAATCTATAGTTTCCGTTTAATAGTTAAATAAATTGTGTAAGAGAATTCCTAAATAGATCCTAGAAAGAAAAAGACAAACCTTAGAATTCAATGCGGTGCTGGCTGCTCTCATCAGTGAATCCCGGTCGATCAAATCAATCTTGGTAGACATTTCCGTAAGAAACTCTGAGGCTTTTGATGCTGCTCTCTGGAATGACTCCGCAATAGTTGTTGGATGTATACCTAACAATGATGTGAAATCAATATAATTGACAAGCCCCCCAAAAAAAACAAATCAAAACAAAAAAAGTCAAATCAAATCAAACTTTTATCTGTATACCTTTGGAAAGAAGTTTCTCAGAAGCTCTCAACAAGGCTCCCGCTATAACTACGACAGATGTGGTTCCATCCCCAGCTTCAACGTCTTGTGCAGCTGATAGGTCAACAAGCTGAGATGATTGTCAGAAAACCATTTACGCATGATATATCAGACAATAAGCCAACGGACTATACCATTTTCGCCGCTGGATGCAAGACAGCCATATGCTTCAAGATGGTAGCCCCATCATTCGTGATAACCACTTCGCCACTTCCCGTTTGAATCTAAATGTATTTATTGTTAGTCACTTTGATTGAAGCGATAGTACAAATGCAATTAAATCAATTCGATCAGCCACATCTCAATGGATGAAATCAATGCAATGACTGATTCCAGAGCGACGGATCAACGCGTCGCGTAAACAACCAACATGAAGAATTATTACAGAAAATGATCATAGAAGCATCCAGAAAATAGGATGAAAAAAGCAATGAATTTATTGTCATGTTTATGCGTTGATCTTTCACGAGCAAAATCCCAACTAATTCTCTAAATGTTATAATTTAGAAATTACTGAGCACCAAATGCAAAATGAAAGCCCTCTGAGACTTACCATCTTATCCATACCTTTTGGACCTAGTGAGGTGCGTATTGCATCACCCACAGCTACGAGGGGATAATAACAGGAACAGGTCAAGCTTGGTAATCTCATATAGCGGCGGTTATTATATTTAGCGTACCTTTTGCTGCGATGATATTACTGAGGCGGACCTCAACGGGCTTTTCTTTGTCTTTGAAAGAATTGCGAGAAGCGCCCTTGTTTTCAGTCATTTTGTCAAGCTTTCCGGAATCTTTCACGAAGGAACCTCGATGTTTGATGGAAGTATGCGTTGACGTAGTCACAGAATTTAATGTCGCAAAATTCTGGCAAAAATCGATTGTTTTAGAAAGGATATGCATGATTTGAGTGACGATCCACATACTAATACGTGAATCGCAAGAGGCAAAATAAAAAGCATGTTAGATGGTATTTAATCAGTTTTGACTTGGAACTGGTGGAAGAAAATTCAAAGTTGAAAGAGTATTATTTGAAAAGACTCCTTTCTTAAAGAGTTAGAAATCACCTAATACTAATACTAACTCTTCTTCAACAAGCAGAAATTTCAAGATTAAAAGATACAATAGCAGAGGTATCCATTGTGCATGAATTTTCTCAAAGAATTGATGAAGTGGGGGACTAACGAAGAGAAAAAAGAAACTAGTATTAGAGATAAAAGCAAGCACATATAGTAGCTGAAATCATTGATTTGTATAATTACTAATCGCGCTTCTTTGCTTTTAGCACATTTACACCTCCTTCATCACTAGACGATTCAGATGAGAAATTACTGGGATAAGTCTTTTTTCTACGCACTTTTCTTTGGGAATAACTGGATTTACTATAGAGTTTATAATTTCGAGATTCGTGGTTGTTATCCTGCTCCACAAAAGACACGACCATTAGTTGAACTGACGTAATGTTGTTAACGTATTTTGAATTATCCTTTATTAATAAATATAAATATTGAATTTATTTGATAATATATTATCAAGGTAGTTGTTTGTAAATAAAAAATTGTATTGGTAGAGCATCAGAAACTGAATCTGAGGCAGACTTTTCCAACCACAATTTGCGAATTATTATATATAGTATGTGTATTTATTTTTTTTCGCTAGATATAATTTCTATTCTCGATGACGCCAAAAAAAATAACAATTATCTGGAATCACAGCAATCGGATAAACCTGTTAAGAAAAGAACAAGCCCATCTCGTTTGGCTAAACAGGATATAGAGGCCATATTATTCGCCGAACAACTCAAGACGGGAATGAAAAAAGTTAGCACTCACTACCATATAACATAGGTTCTGCGACTATTAAAAAATATGGGCTAACTCGATAGGCAAACCAAGCTTGCCTGAATGATATAGCAAGAACGCTAAATTTGAGAAGCTGAAACATCATCTGATTCGATGCCTCAGGAATAGATATACACGAGAAACCCGATATTTCCATCGAGGCAAAGCGGAAGAAAAAACAGGCCGAAAATGGAACGGATAGCAAAGAATATTTTTAGATGATATAGATTATATTTTGGCACAGCTTTCACTTACGCCATCATATGATCAGACACGCGTTCAGAGATGTGTGGGCGAAATGCTTTTTTTTTCTTTTAAACAAATACTTTTTTGCACTTAATCAACATGATGCATTCGCAATCTAAGGTTAAAGCACATTCATTAGAAGAGCCATTAGACTGTCTTTGCAAAGCGTCCGCGGTTTACCTGGCCATAGAAGACAATATTTTACCTCCTTTCGAATATGTACGACGTGTATAAGCCGTTATGGTGCACTCAGAGAAGCTCTGTGAGAATGCAGACTTGTCGAATCTTACATGGCGTGACCATGAAGCAAGCATGGTTATTAGCGACGACTCATTCATGATAAGAGTAGACAGGATACTTTTTTGGAACCTCGAGAAAACATGAAATGCATTATGCCTGATTCAGTTACGAAGCGTAATGAATTTATGAGTAATATAACAGTTCGAATGCTTCATAGGTTATGAAGAATATTTAAGGTGGAAAGAAGACAATAAAATAACCGAACGTATTCTCGGAACACTGTTAAGTAATTTCTTAATAATTGATATGTATTTTTACATGTACCTAATGCACTTTTTTCTGACATATTCGTACATTCTATGCATTAGTGGTGGGATATGGAACAATATCTCACAGTGAACAAAGTGAAGGTTTATAGGCTCATCATATAGAAATCAATTTGGGGTTGTTAGTAATTATATATGAGGAAAAGTATAATTTAGCACATTTTTATAATAAGACTCTTTGTGGAAATATATTTGCGGATCAAAGCCGCCTACACGGCCTTTAAATAAACTAAAAATAAAATGCGAAATGTCTATAATAATAATGGATTGGTTCAGGCTAAAGCTCGAAGAACGTCGTAATATTTTGAATTCAAACATATGGGATGGGATACCCTGAAATTTTCCAGCCATTATAATTGTGGATAACAAAATTGAAAGTATTCATAAACTCTATGTAACTGGCTTAACCTACCCGAGTGGAAATAATCTACATAAATGACCAAAGAAGCGATTAAAAAGACAACAGTATATGGAAGAATAATGCCATTTTATTATTTGCCCTACCAACACATTGAAAACCTATCACTTTTACATCAGCTCCTTTGTCAATAACAGTCTTTCGTGAAGATACAAATGCATTACAGTTTTTAATACTTTTTTTGCAAATAGGTAGAGCGGACTTTCATGCTTGAAGTTTAGTTCTTAGACACAATTTTTGCATGAAAAAACAACAACACTTGATCTGTGGGTAGTACTAGTACATATACAGTGCGCGAAAAAGTTTTTGGAATAAAATGCATGGTATTATTTCCTCCAAAATACGCGTCTTATAAAAAAAAAGTCAACTATAACTAATACGTTTTGTGCGTCAAGAAACTCGGCATAACTTTGTAGCTTGTTTTATTTGTTTACACTTTTCGTTTTGTTATTAAAAATACAACGACAGAATTTTGATTGACCGACGTCCCCACTCTATGGGCAAAAATGGTACTCAAGATGCCTACACTTTACATAAATTAACTATTAATACTTCCTCACTCGGACGGATTTGCCTTGGGTATTGCCGAGAGAGTTGTATGCTCGTAGTCAAAGCTTCAGAACCGTTTTCGCAGACAATACGCTGGGGTGCTGAAAAGTTTTGCGTGTTGGCTATCTAGAGTTTAACTAAAAATGGGAATAACCATCAAATGCCATGTAACAAACGAAAAGATGGAAATTCATTATCTCTTGTAAAACGACTGGAAGAAAATGAGCCGTGATACTTTATTTTCGCTTCTTGGAAAATGCAACTCAAATCCACGAGGAACAAGCATTGTCTCGCAATTTATTGTTTAACTCACCGTTTCTTTAGCAAGAGAATAGTAGACAATACCTTTTTTTGGTCTTCCTCGCATCATGTAATTGCTTGGATATGTTTAGGTTGGTTCACAATTAGCCCTGTTCGTGACGTCATGCTTTATTACGACAATGTCGTACCATCTAAGGCAACGATCATAATAATAACGGAGTATCTTCATAACAAACGAGTGGACTTTTCCCCCACTTGCCATACAGTCCAGACTATTTTTTCTTATTCCCTCGAATCAGAAAAGATGCACAGACCCAATACCAAGTAACAAACCTCGCGCGATGCCAATGTAATCCTCGCGCGATGCCAATGTAATCCTCGCGCGATGCCAATGTAATCCTCCCGCGATGCCAATGTAATCCTCCCGCGATGCCGCAAAAGACGTGCAGACATAATACCAAGTAACAGACCCTACACGATCGGAAAATCGTCTGCTGCGCATGGACCTTTATTTCAATACAACTATTTCATTCCCTCAAAGCTTGCATGTTTCATACCCGCCATTCAAATATTTAAAGACATTATCCCCCAAATTCTTTAACCATACAATATTGTAATATTGCAATATTTTGCTTATTTATTATTTGAAATAAACACATAAACTCTCTCCTCGGGTTCAAGCAAAAGGAAGGTCTCAGCTCCATGTAAGTAAAGAATACAGACCATATCGTGAATATACTGGGTTTATTATTGAAAGTTAATTGCTCGTTTACTCATACCTTCTCCTCTATCTTTTTATTCAGATACGTCAAGATGAGTTTTATACGAACGTGGATGCTCTAAACAAACCGCTGAAAACAAGCGCTATTCGACTTGCTTGGATCGGTCTTGTTGAACTTCTTTTGTCTGGGGGGTTTGTTGTTCATCCTGCACGTGGATGCTCCAAATAAACCGCTAAAAACAAGCGCTATTCGACTTGCTTGGATCAGTCTTGCCGAACTTCTTTTGTCTCGCCACGTTGTTCATCCTGCACGTGGATGCTCTAAACGACTTGCTTGGATCGGTCTTGCTTGGATCGGTCTTGCTGAACTTCTTTTGTCTGGGGGATTTGTTGTTCATCCTGCACGTGGATGCTCTAAACAAACCGCAAAAAACAAGCGCTATCCAACTTGCTTGGATCAGTCTTGCTGAACTTCTTTTGTCTGGGGGGTTTTTCGCCACGCCAAACGGGAACATGTCAAACTATCCACAAATAAGTAAGTCTATACGATGCGATGTTTAAAGGACATGCGAGGCACGTTGTTCATCCTGCCGCAAACCATTGGCAGACGTAATGCAGAAATTATGGTCTCAGAAATTGTGGTTACCCATTGTGACTGACTACAAAATTCATGGTTTTCGTCAACAAAGCGACCTCCGACGAACATGAACTTTCACTGCAATCAAGCAAGGAAGAAGAGTCGAACCCCAAACAGGGAAAAAAGCACAAGATCAGGACAACAGCAGCTAGGAAAAGACGTCGACAGCGCGGTGTGTTTGACAGTTCTCTCCGAATAATCTTGCGGATGAGCGTGAAGACAAGAGACTTCAAAAATCATGCGTATGGGGTGAGCGCAAATTCGTGCGAACTGTTGTAATGCTGCTTCAAGGTACACATGGCAAGGCGCCTGCCAACATTATCGATGATTGATGAAGCATTAACTGCTACGTAGGGTGTCTGAAAAGTTTTGACAATGTACATGTATTGTGACAATTTTAAATAAAAAAATAATGCAATTAAAGTTCAAGTTTCAGTTGATTTAGCATAAAAAATTGGCACAATTTGATTTGACGAAAAATCATACCCTAAACCTAATGGAGAAAACTAAGTGAGAACATCAACGTTACTACGTCTATGTTAGCTGGAACAGCGAGGGTTGCTGAAGGACCTAATGCACTCTCTGAACGTACTATTTACCGGTGGATTGAAGTATTCGAAGACGGGGACGAGAGCATTGAAGATAACCCCTGCTCAGGATGTCCTTGCAAAGCTGTCACCCAAGAAAGATTGCGAACTGGTAGATGACACATCACCGTATAAAGAAAGAATCGAGTCCATCTTACATAGCCAACTTGATCTCAACAAAGTGTGTTCAAGATGGATTCCGCATGTCATACAAATAAGCAAAAACGAGTTGAACTTGCAAAACAGATGTTACGAGTTTTAGATGGCGGGTTTCAAAATATTATTACTGGTGACGAAACCCGGTTTATCGAACCTCGTTTTACCGAAGGCACGGGGAGTCATCTATATTCGTTATAACGAGGAATTCGGTAAAACAAACACGCTCTTTGTAACCTAAAGTCAAGTAATATTCGGTATATTAAGGCTTTCGTAAACAATGTTTATTAGTTGCAAAATAATACAAATATACAGGAGCAAGAGAAAACAAAAAATATAATGATTTCTACGATCACTCAAATTAGAATATTTATGTATCAGAGATTCATTTGAGAGAATATAATCGGCCTTACCTTCATTAGACAATGCAAAGTCAACATCACTCATAATTTGTTTAGAATTGTTCGATGCGTCAATGAAGAAAAAAAACTACCAATGCCGTTCATTACATGATACGTTTTACATGATTAACTATTAACACAAAATACTCTTGGCCTACAAACGATGCAGAATATTCATATTCACGTGAAATTGTATTAATAGGGTCCATTATTCATTCATTCATTTATTCATTTATTTTGATTTTATTTAACTAATTTTAGAGACAAGATAATTAACCAAAATATACGAATCAGCAAAGTTCGTCTTTGTCATTTCGATCTCGAAACAAACGATAATAATTCGTGCACAAAATCCACGTGGAACCGTTTTTATATCACCCATTTCCATAACCCATCAATGCTTTCCGTATACCGTCATAAACTCTGGACGACAAACACGATTTGTGGCCGCTTTATTTCGAGAAAAAAAAAAGGCATAATAATAAGTGGCCTGTTCCTCACAGAATAACGTCCGATTACAAGATCACATATATTCGCAAAACTAATGAATGGAAATTTTCATGGGTTTACGAGACGCAAAAACAACTCCGCGAAACCCAAGCGGAGTTCTGTTCATTAACCCTAACCTTTACATGGTACTCTCCTACTAAAGGTGTAGGCAAAATTGGCCAATACGACATTGGACGAATCATTCGTCTATGCAAGTATATGGATAATCTTTTTTCTATGAAGGACAAGCTGGCTGCCTCTAGTTCAAAACGTAAGAAGAAAAAGACCTTGCGACTTGATAAGGAAATCTTTCAGATGCGACGAAAAATCAAACACCGAAGTTCAAGCATGGTAAATCGAAACAAGAAAGATAACAAAACCGTTCGCACATTGTTCTGTTGGAGCCACTATCAATTTCACCAACCTGGTGGCTAAAGCAGAAGAATTAGGGGTCCATGTTGTTATTCAAAATGAGGCCTATACTTCAAAAACTTGCAGTTGATTCAAAAAATAGGAGGGTCTTGAGATGTATCGGGACAAAAAATCTCACGATTGTAGTACGCAACAAACATTGCGTCGATTATGCATGTTCGCATGTTATATATAGTTCATAATAATATTCCTTTCTGTATTTTATATACTCTGAAATACACGGTTGATCTTTATTTCCTTTATAAATGATTGATATGGTCAGGAACCACCAATCTCCCATGGATTATCCGCTTAAGAAGAAACGCGTTTAGATAGATATATTTGTAACCCCACAACGGAATAGTCGATTAACTCGAGGGCAGGGCGAATAACCGTCTCGGATTAGTGTCTACTGATCGACACAAGGTCGTGGAAGTAAAGAGGTCACTAACTGTCGTTGTATTTAAAAGAACCACAACTCTGCTTAAAATAGCTAAATCCCAGGGCCAGCGATCGATTGTTTTCCCGCAATTGTTGGCTCGACAGTGACGTTTATTTATTGCAATGAAACGGCGAAGAACAACATATTAACAACAACCGTTAAATCTTTGTGAAGTCCTTATCACCTATGGTTGAATAACCTTATCCTTCATGCAATTGGACATTGTCATTTAGACGTGCATCCTTCTCATCTGGCCAACAATTGACGATAGATTTCTTATTATTTACTCTTATGGACAAATTAGAGTAACGCAAAGGTTCAATACAAATCGACAAGTTTCTATAAAATAACGCAAATGTGATTGTTTGACTATATTAATATGTGTGATAAATTTTCAAGTGGGCAACTTCGCCTTTGGAATTTTGGTCTTTTTCGATATCTATCAACTTCATGTCTTAGAAAGGATTCAACTAATGGATTCACTGCACTAGCTTCATCCTTTGTCATTGGATTCCGCTTTCGAGAGACAATACGATTCCAAGCTTCCTGTACTAGTGATGGAGGTAATTGACGAACCAGATTAGAATATGCTTTTATTAAATTTCATGGCTCTTTGAGTCATTGCTTTGCAACTGATATAGTATTGAGAAACTAATATTGTATTTACAGCACAGAAAAAATTGGAATCTTTCATGAAAATTATGAAACATATACTAACAAAAAAGTAGCTATTAATCATCACGAAATAGCAGTAAATAAAGTCTAAAATACCAGCCCTCAGGGATACCTTAGATGGTTTTATTTAAAGATATATATATATGAATAAGTTATACAATAATAAATAGATTAAACTGTTATGTTATAATAAATTAAGCTATACATTGTTATTTGCTATATACCATAAAAAAGCGTCGAAACATGGATGAACAAACGAATTAAGATAAGCTCCTTCAATTGTTGAAATGTTTAAAGAGGATTTTGATCCTCGAGTGAAAATGCCTTAATACTGTGCAAAAAAATATATTAGAACAGAATCCGAAAAAAAAAAATAGATCAATTAATGCCTAACATACAATTGCGGTAAGGTACGGCGTATAGCTCTCGCTATTGCTGTCATCACGGGATCATTCGGTTCAGGAGATTTTAAATCGTCGATCTCGCAGTGCCTGTGGCGCTTAAATTTTTCGATGTACAATTTTAGGAACCAATGATTCAGTCACGGTATCCATCTCCATTAGATACGATCTTGCTGTCGGTTCTGGAAGTTTTTTAAAAAATGGAGAGTTTGGTCAAGATCACCATCGGGATCTTGTTCTTTATAAATCGAAAAATATCCTTTGCAGCATCCGAGTAATCCTAAAATGTCGGTTATCTGGTAGAAAAAAAAATAAACTGCATTAAATCTCTTAGTTAAAATAGATTGCTAAATTATTATTAAATACTTACTACATCATCTCGAATAATTTTTTTCTTGGTTGTTGTGTACATAGTTTCCGGTTTATTTTCTTGTGAGGAAAGTTCAGGAATACTGACATCTGAACTTGATGCTTCATCTGTTTCTTCATTATAATCTGGTATAGTAACTCTCCCACTTCTTGTTCAATTGTTATTTTTTATCATATATGATTGTTGACGTTCAGTCATCCATTCTAAAGGAATCAATATGTTAAGAGTCACTTGACCTCACCCTTTTTGATATCTCCTTATCGACCTGCAAGTCATGTCCACGTTTGAGGCATTTTTGGTTGCCTGGAGTTGTTTCGTCTTATTGAAAGAAAAGTGTCAATCAGCTTTTCCGTAAAATGAAACATTAAATTCCTTCTGAACAACAGCTCTTTCTGCATATTAGACCTGCAAATACCTCAATTTTGTCCAACTTCTTCTCTAACAATTGAGTGTTTATTTCAACTTTTTCAAATTCGATCTTATTCCAAAATAATTTTACATCCTCCCATCGGACTTGCTGTTGAAATTATTGGGGGAAGAAATTATTATAGGAAGAAAAGCGATTCATTAGGGGTTGTGAACGAACGCGTCGTTCTTGGCACCAAGACGTGTGTTGCCTTTGGCCTTCACACAAACTTAGGATGGAGCCCACCGGAGATAGCCCCCGTAACTAACCCGACGCATTGCCAGGTCGCTTAGGGTGGTTGTTTCGACAGCGCCCAACTCCTTCCCTATCCCCTCGCCACTTTTCCCCTTCTGATTTATTCTTTTCGATACCAGGCAAAAACAATTAATATAGACATCTTATCTTTTAGGGAAAGTGTATTTATAGCTCTGCTCCGATATAAATTTAGAAAATTTAGTGTTGCTATGGTTAGTAAAACTGACGTAGTTAATGGCAAAATAAAAATAACATAGATGATCACATCACCATGTACATGTGAATGGAAAATCTATTCGGTTATTTTTCGGTAAATTTTTTGATCCTAGCCTTCTTACTGGCTGGGGAATTATCGACACTAATTCTATCCTTCAATAAGCCAACAATAACGCCTAGTACCCGTCTAACCCCTTTTCGAATAGAGTCAACATCCACTTTAGAGAGATTTATCTGATATTAATTTAAGTATTATTTGAAATTAAAATCTTATAACAAATAATTCTCGTTATAAGAAATTTTTCGATATAATAATAAGAAAGGACTTGTACAAGTAGCTAACGTTACACCAATAAACCACAATATACTAATATGGAGGCAGATTTACAATAATAGCACCATTTCCCGCAGTCCGCAGTCCGCAGCACTGTACCACCATGAACAATTAACTGCAGGTCCAAATCCGGTATTCGGTCCAGACAGAGTTTCTCTCAACTTCTTGAAATGTGGTATCTAGATTTTAAGAATCAGGGACATGGTAAGTAAGAGCAACTCGCTTGGCGTCGAACTGAACAATGATTTATAACTTGGCTTTCAAAAAAAAGACACGAAATACTGGCTTCAGCCAATATACGGCTGTATAACTTTAGGTCTGCGTTCTGATTGTGAGTATACACTATTGATCTTGTTAATTGCTTGAGCGAAACAAGGGATTCGTTAGTGAACTTATGTTTCCTTGACAGCATACGACATTGTCCTTGGTTGCAAGGAACCAGATGCATTAGTTAGTGCGGCCATATGTTTTGTAAACGATTCTATACAAAACGTAAGTATTTTCGACATTTTACCACTCGATCGTTCAGTGCGTTCGTACTCTTCTTGACGACCAACATCAATTAGGGGAAGCGGTCAGGAATAAAACTTGTAGATTTCGGCTGTAAACGTGGGTTGTACATTAATGACAAGCTGGTTGATGATGAATGTGTTGACCTCTCACATGGTGATAGAATAAAAATTCCACATGTTGTCGAATTTGAGTACGTGCGATAACTGGTGTGTTTTTTCCTCAGATTCAATGTGCGTTTCTGATTTTAGAACAATTCTAATCTTTATTGCGTAGGATAAAGTGGCATCCTATTATTATTTGCATAAGAAAAGATGCATACGATTTCTCCGACGTGGAATTATACAAATGGGAGAGCTGTTTACGAGATCACGGTATGTGTCTCGAGAGATTTGTCTTCCATAACATTGCTTCGCTTGCTTGCTGTTTCCCTCTATCGGCTGGTTAATTACCATTTCACTAACTTCCATCACGTGTTATTAGATATTCAATACTCGTATGAGTGGAATTCGGAATGTACGCATCTTTTGATGCGACATTATAAATTCGATTATGCCGTGCTCCATGCTTTGGCAGAGGTTAAACCAATAATAAATCCTAAATGGATAGAGCATCTAGAAGTTATGAGGGATGGATCCCTAGTCAGAATGTTTCAACTACCAGATGAGACCAATTATCTTCCCGAAGCAAAGGATGAAGTCCCTCGATTAAATATAGAATTATTTAAAGCCAACGTGAAAAGAAAGACATTGTTATCTGGGACCGTGTTTGTGCTTCCCGAGGAGCAATATGTAAGTGAATTCTGGTTCAATGAATGCATTGATATGATTATACTGAGTATATTTTAAACATAGAACGAGACAAGCTCCGTGATGCAGCTAATAAAGAAAGTCGGTGGACAGGTAGAGCTGTATACGGTACCCACACTAAATGAACACGAGTTGTGCACTATAATTGCCAAGAATGAGCGCAAACTGGCAGATGCTCATCGCGTCTGTTATTTGACTCCATCAAAAGCAGACTTATGCAGTATGCTATGCCATATTTTAAGGAGCATGCGCCTGCGGTTAATAAACCCAGATGAAGTGCTCACCGCAATATATAAGGTTGATGCAGACACATACTGTGATCCAAAAAAGGAAGCAACGAGCTCCAAGCTATGTAAGTTTATTGATGGTATTGTTGTAATGATAGTTAATCATATGTTTATCACGAGTTACATTTTCAATGGTTTTATCCAGATTTAAGGCCTCGCATGAAAGATTCCGCAGAAAAAAGGCCTGCTGTGTTCAAAGGACCTCAAAGACGGAAAGCTTCTCCAAAAGGTTAGTCTGTGTAGTATCAATTTATTAATTCAAAAAGACACAAGCCTAACGATGGCTGTAACGAATTTGTAGTGAATATGCCTGATTTGAATAAGTATCGGAATTTCAATCGCAGTAGATTTAAACCCGCCAATACAAAAAGGAATTATAGTAAAACTGAGCAGGCCCATGTAGATGATCCTATGGACGTGGATACCGGGCAATCTGACGAATTTGAAAGGTGGCAAGCTGATTTGGCCGAAAACTCAAAGAGAGCCTGGCATTGATTTGTAATATATGTATGCATATACGGTACTTATAAATAGATGTTGTAATATCAGACGGTAGGTAACCGACAGGCAAGTGTAAAAACGCGCTAACTGGTGATAATAAATACTTCTTTTTTTTTTTTGGAGAATGAACAATTATACTTTGCATACCGAATTTTTTTTTTATTATAAGTAGAATTGAATAGAGTAGATTAGTGCAAAAGAATTTAATGTACATTTCTAATGTATAAATATCACGACTCGCTCATTGATTAACATCAGAGTTATAAAATGTCATCGTCTTCATCGTTAATTAGAGCAAATGCTGCCTGTGCATCAATATCTATCGACATACTTGGATCCCTTTGCGAAAAGTCTACTCTTGCACTTCGAGCAGATCTATTCTTCTGATTTCTAAGAAAAAGAGAAATTGGTATCAATAAAATATTCACGTTTTACATTTTTCATATCTTTCTTGTAAATGATGCTATTCCATATGAAGTCCTTACTTTCTCAGCATAACGAATAATCTTCCAAACTGCATCAAATTCCTTATAACCAATAGGATAGTATCAAATATTTCTTCTGATTTATGCTCAGAGCATCCATCCGTGACAATGAATATTAACGTTACTAAGCAAAGTAATACCAACACAAGGTCTACGATATTGTAGATTGATTTCCAATATAGCTGCGCACAATTGGAATTTGCAAAGAGTGAGTCAAGCAAGTAGTCGAGTCTCTTGAGACGCGGATAGATTTGTTTACCTTTCGCAATGCTATAAATCGCGTCAACACTTCTGTTATCATCACTACATTGATAATTATTTCAAGAACGATAAACAGTATTGATGGACTGTACAAAGGGAGAAAATTCAGGGTAAGTTTATTTGTATGCATATACCACCATTCTATCGTAATGCGACGTCGTATCAATACTACGGGCAAGAATTTCTATTGTACACCCATATCTTAATACTCACCATTTCTCCTTTATTGACTATAGGTAGGAAGAAATAAAAGAACAAAGATCAGATACGATCCACATCACAATATCATCGATCAAACATATATGCCCGCTTACCAGTACGATAGATACAATACTAAGTAAAGCCATGCCCAAATACAACCAGGTGTAGAATTTCGAATATAAAATTCTATTTGCAACACCTCGCATTCTCTCTGAGCGAGACAGTGAATACAGTTTGTGAGCATCTCTAGGGAATCCGTGGGAGCATTAATTAATAGGCGGACAAATCAACTAGTCGACTGTTTTAGTAAGACGAGGAAGGGTCGAAGTACTTACTGGGTCTCTCCCGCGAAAGGGTCGGTGCCTATCGGAATGGCAGATTCGTCAGTGCTGGCCATGTTCAAAGAGTGGTTTGTATGAGTCAAACTGCAACACTAGACTAATAATGCACGAATATCCCTGTAACACCATAATAAATGAGAATTTGGTAAGGCAAACCATAAATGTAAAAAAGTGATGTTGAAGTATTTTACGAATGATTTATTACATCGTCTATTACTATATACTAATACTGGTTTCTTCGTTGTGTAAGATTGTTAAAGTAACGTATGAAGCCTTGGAATTTTGTCGCGTAATTCACTTGATGAAACGCTCTCCTTTACACCATGAAAGAATTTGTTTAGGAGGAATGCCACAGATTGTCTTATACAGTATTTGCATTTCTTAATATCAAGTCAACTAGCATTAAATATAAAAATGAAGGCATTGCAGAGAACAGGAATTATAAGCATCGATCTTGTTTAGGGTAACACATGTCATGATTTTCGCGATCACCTTAAACGGGGTTTTTTGATCGAAGCTTTGTCTTCTTTAATAATCATCGCAGCAGACATTCGCGACATTTTGTCAATTGTAAAATACTCACAGTGACAGAAGCATTTTTAAGCATGCAAAAGACGACTCGGAAGTCAAATAGGATTTGGCAGAATTGCTTCAATTTTTGTATAAAAGATGACAAGACATTTAAATTGTTAAAGTTTAGTGCTACACATGTGCAAATGCGAATAGTTTAAACGAAATGAAGCATGAATAAATTGACAATACGGACAAAATACAATTTAAAGTATTAAGAGACACTATAGCTTTAACTTTGACAAAACAAAATTCAAAGTACCCACTAAATTAACACAACAACAACCAATTGAATCAGTTTAGTTAAGGGAACAAAATTACATGGTGCTTCTCCGTGAGTTTCTATTGAAGGTCAGGACTCGAGAAGGCCAGCAGAATCTTGGGCGAAAATTATTTATTGAAAACTCGCATTGCCAGCAAGAAATGCTTTGGTTATCTTCCGAATTGTAAGCACCGCTTTCCTAAGCTTTATTAACAGAAAAAGTTTCAAGATTACAATCAGTTGCACATAGAAAACATATCGCCTTTCTGCGGCCTTTGACATATGACGAATTGGACGTTTAACTGTGTACCATGGTCAAGCACAGTTCGAATGCGCTTGTTAGTAAATTGTTATTATGGCGGAAAAGGATAACCAACACATATAGGCTTCATTATTCAATCCATAGTATTCAACAAATATGAATTCGCTTCTTTCTAATTATAGTATTATGTCTGTTCTAAACAATTCGAGTATCCGACTACCGAATATAATTTACGACGATTGTCTTTCAAACTGCGAACGGAGCGTTCACTTAAACACACGTACCATGTTTATTAGGCAGGGAAATTTTTATTTTATCGTCGAGCTTTCGTCAATCATGCACAAGGATAAAAAGAGGCTCATTGTAACACGCTCTTAATGATTTGTTCCAAGTCAATGAAAAAGGCAAAACTGTTATCTTCTACAGTAACTTTATTACAATGGATCTCGATGCGTCTGGAACGTATTATTGTTGACTCTCTCGAAGCAACCAGAGCTAGTTTTCAATGCACCAAATTAATCCTTGATTATGACAACTTCCTTTATTGGTAAACAACAATGGCGATTGTCTTGACTGGAAAGACACAAAATACAGTATTATAATTATAATTAGTACGCCATCCACACCGATTAAAATCTGCAAGCTTAGCGCGAGGCATAGTGATAGCGTTGTCTACACGTTACTATTTTCTTGATAATTGCTTATTTTCTCTCTACTTCATTCACCCCGCATTCCAAATATACTGGCCATTCGCATCTGTCGTAGTAGGGACCCGGCCACATTAACATTACACAGCAGATAAGCTTTCCTTGAAGCAGATATCTAACTGGCCGATCAATAATCTTTCCCGAAATTTGCTTTTCCCCATCCCCCAAGGTTTTCTTATAAACCTTTACCTATATCATCTTTGTTTCTTCTTCATAGAAAACAGCATGTCGTTAGCTATAATACGACGAGCTGTACAAACTCCTACTTTAAATGCTGCAAGGTCTATCCGATGCAACCCTTTTGCAGGATTTTCAACTACTTTAAGATATTATAGCTCGAAACATGTTAGAGGTAGTTTCAGGGAAACACTGCCGAACGCTTTCGCCCGCTCCAATGTTGGAGGCACGTCAAATGTTACGCTGAACAGGTTTGCACTTGTTTGGATTTTGATGATTCGATTTTGCATACTCTTGGGTTGTATTAGAACATGTGAAATTTACAATGTCGGATGAACATGTTAAAAGATCCCTTGGTTAATTGTATTGCTAATTGTACTAGTTAACTGTATTGATTATACTATTAATTCCACAAAAGACGGTAGTAAAAGATATGAATCGATGAATGAATGATTATTTACCTTATGATTTCTTCCATCAGACACACAATTCTCAACCCATTCCTCTTCATGCAAGCTAGAAACTACGGTAATGTCAAAAAGCAGTGAGACGCGAATAAACTTTTGATCGGCTTTTCTCTCTAGGTTTTTCTGATTTTAATTTCACGCTACGTACTTTCTGATCCATTTATCTAGCTGACAAAACCGTCACTGTGCCACCGATGGCCGAATCGATTTCGGAGGGAACCCTTAAGAGGTGGACTAAACGTAATGTGTTTTGGAATGAGTGAGCACACAGAAACTGTATTGAATATGTGGAAGTTGGAATCGATTCTAATACCGTCTGTAACTTAAAATGTACATCAGAGGTGGGCGATTTTATTCATGCTGACGAGGAAATCGCGACCATTGAAACCGATAAGGTAAGAATTATTGAAAATTCTATGCAGCTTGAGGAATCTATTTGAGAACTCTACATTGACTTGTTGATATACAAACAAACTCATGCAGGTCGATGTTACCGTCAACTCGCCCGTGTCGGGTACTATAATAGAACTGTATGCTGAAGTTGACTCTACCGTGACCGTCGGAGCCAATTTGTTCAAGGTTGAACTTGGAGATGCTCCAAAGGAGGGTAAGTTTAAGCATGTAATAAATCTAGTTTGCATGACGATATGTCCATTCGTGAAAGTATTCATTTATATATCATTATTCAAGGCGCTGCTGCTCCCAGCGCTTCCGCAGAAGCCTCCCCTGCACAGGAAGAAAAACCTGAAACACCGGACGTAAGCAAAAAGAAGGCGGAATCGGCACCCCCAGGTAATGACACAGTACGTATGGATTTTATTCACATTTGATACTTGTACTCACAAACGTTTTCGCATAGAACCAAAATCTGCGCCTTCTCCACCACCTTCGTATGAACCTCTCCGATCTCCGCCCCCACCACCTCCTCAATCCTCTTCACCTCCCTCACCTCCCTCTCGACCCGAATCACCACCTGCTTCACCTACTCGATCTGTGTTACCGCTTCTTGCAGCCACTGGATCCCCATATGGGCCAAGAGAAGAACGTCGTGTATGTTCAATTTACGTGCCTTTTGTTTTCTTCTATCATATTTATAATATATTCAATATATTGAAAATCTAATTGGGATAATGTAGGTTAAAATGAACAGGATGCGTTTGAGAATTGCTGAAAGGCTCAAAGAATCACAGAATAGTGCTGCTTCCTTGACGACATTTAATGAGATTGACATGAGGTAAACGTTTGGAGAAACGACAATTTGTGATATATCTAGCTACCCGAATGAAATCGACGTAACTTCGTTTCAAAGGCTAATCTGTTTTTTTTTTCCTCCCGCTCTTACACACATTGTCTCTCTTTCTACTCGCCAAACAATTTTTTAATTCTCATCTATGTACTCGACATCTTTTCAGTAATATTATGGAACTACGTAATACATATAAAGAATTAATTTTGAAAAAACACGGTATCAAACTTGGTTTCATGTCTGCATTCGTGAAAGCAGCCGTGTATGCATTACAAGAGGTGGCTGTAGTTAACGCATCGATTGAAGGACCGGACGGAGGTGACACTATTGTGTACAAAGATTATGTTGATATGAGTGTTGCAGTAGCGACACCGAAAGGATTGGTTACTCCTGTTGTGAGAAATGCACATTTGATGTCCTTTATCGAGATTGAGAAGGCTATAGCCGAGTTAGGACAGAAGGTGAGGCTTGGAAAAGGCATGGAGTTGGAGGGCAAGATGAGCTTAGGAGAGCAGTGAGAGGGATATTAAAAAAAACAAAGCTTATAATTGAACTGATAATGGTATACTGAACTGTATATTTATCACTACAGTCGTGTCAATAATACTTGCTAGACGTATCATTGTAATATTGGTGGTCGCTAATCATTTACCTCTTTTCGCTAGGCTCGTGATGGCAAGATTACAATTGAAGACATGGCAGGAGGAACCTTTACCATCTCCAATGGAGGAGTGTTTGGATCATTGATGGGTACCCCAATCATCAATATTCCACAGAGTGCTATCCTAGGAATGCATATTACAAAGGAACGACCTGTAGCTATCAATGGGAAGGTAGTTATCTACCAGTATTGAAATTATGATCTTTTTACTGTCCGAGCGAGTTATCCATTCTTATTGCTATTTTACTGTATCGTTCACATTCTCTTATAGGTTGAGATTCGTCCAATGATGTATGTTGCATTAACTTATGACCATCGTCTTATTGATGGTCGTGAGGCCGTTACATTCCTGAAAACGGTGAAAGAACAAGTAGAAGATCCACGTCGATTGCTACTGGACGTGTGATATCTCTCGTATCTTTGGAAACAACTCAATTAGAAGTATTTTAACGTTAAAAAAATTTAGTATTCAGGTAGATTATTGATTAATCTTGCAATTGCTATTACTTCGGCAATCACATGATTTAAGATGTGGCTCTCCATAATTCATGATAATAGATTGTTGTTTTGGTGCCAAAAAACTGTGTACTAAATACATTGATCCTTCGATTAGCAAATTGCCGAACTTTAAATATTATCACGTGTATATATACAACAAATAAAATACTAAATAATAGGATTCGATAATCAATCGGGTATCATTATGATGATATTATTGGTTCCATTCCACGCAACAGAACATCGGCCTCTTTGGTCAAAAATGTTATTTCTTCCTCGAGTAATGACAGCTTTTTCTTATACTTTTCTGAGATATGAGCTTTAAAAATTTTATCAAAGAAGCCAATTAACTTTGATTGTTATTGACTATTATTGTTGCTACACCTGTCCCCAAAAATCAAAGTTCCTTTGCTTACCGTTAGTTTTTGGATTCTTCACAATCCATTTAATCGTAGATACTATTTCTTCAAGAGCACACCTGAACGTTTGATGGGCTATGTTTTGATTCAAATGGACAGCGCATTATATTATTAAAAGAGAACCAACATTGACGCGTACGCACCAAATTTATCATCAACGAATCATACCTTCATAAAACGCTTTGCCCTTAGACCATCCATTTGCCAAACCAAGCAATTGTCTTTCACCTCCAAAGTCAGCAAACCCGGTCATGATCCAGCTCGAGTCACCACGAAAGGACATTCGGTATCCTTCTGCGAGACATTCCCAACTCCGAGCTACACAGCTCCAACAGACTGTTAACAGCCATTGGCAGATTTTTAACGAGACTTCGTCAGATCCACTAGAAGCATAGCAAGTGAAAATATAAATCAAAAAGGTTAAAGAGGCTGTGATTGAAGAGAATGTGAAAGAAAATACAAGATTGTGTAAACGAAAATGCAGTCTGAACAGATTTTAAACTGAGGGGAGGAAAAACTGTATGCATACTTGTTTTCAGATTTGTGTTTCTGTAGATATAGCGAATGTTTGCTTGTAAATGGTTGGGATACGCTTTGCAAGAAAAAAAGAAAAGAAAAGAAAGAAGAAAAAAAGGTTCGTACATGTCGGACATATTTAACGAACGAGCAAAAAGAGAAAATAATGTTTACCTCCAAACGAGTAATGATATAGTACAAGTCTGTCAAAATTATTGAAATATCGATCGATTTGTCCAAACGCATCCGTATTTTAAAAACTGTTCAAAGAAAAAGGAATGTTTTCAGATAGGTGAGAGAGAGTGTGTGTGTTTGTGTGTTTGTGTGTGTGTATGCGTGTAGGGTGATCGATATCAATTGATCCTCTTTCTTACTGTCGATTCCACATGCCTTCACGCGTCAAGAATCCTTTCCGACAGATTTTATAAGACTTCTCGTTCGTCCACAACATATAACTAAATCGTTTCCCGGCCATGCTTTTCAGCTACTTACTAGCCTCTATTAATCACTTACTGTTCTTTTGATGTTTCTTGATGACCTTCAAAATCAAGTCAGAACTACTCTCAGCAATGCTCGTTGCCTTTTTCATTCTACTTTTGTGTTTGTAGCTTTTCTATAACGAGTTGCATAATTCCCGTTGGAGAGCCGTTCTGAGCCGTAGCCACTCGAGAGAAAGAAGTCTTATTGGGATGCAAGATATAATTTATCATAGTGCGAAGGGAGGGCGAAGGATCAAAGCTTCCTTGTATAAATCACGTGACTCTTATGTCATGTGTAAGGCGAGAACAGATCTTTTTGTCGTTCAGAGCATATTGCGCGACATACGATAATTCTACGATCCTCATATCAAAGTAGATAAAACGGATCAAAACCCGCGTTGCCCGACATAATACCTAATAAATCGTTCATAATACTCGGTTCTCATTTGCATTTCTTCCTTTTATTAAAAAAAGATCATTCGGGTTTCCCCTTCCCCCAAAAAAGGCATATATGACTTTAGCATCACTGTAAAAACAGTAATCACGACCCGGGAGCCGATTGTTTAGTCTCTATTTGCCATGGCCATCTTATTTGCCGATTTTATTATGCTAATCCATTAAAAGGCTCATTCACAGGTCCATCTTTACCGTTTCGCCTCTTTTAGTCCTTACCGAAGACGTTTTATATGCGATCCCTTAACGACTGCACAGATGCCGTCTTATCCTTTCCCTAATATCTCATAATAATATTCACACACGTTCACACACGCAAGTACACACGGCAATGACCCCCTGTTCTGCCAACCATTAACGTCAACCGATTCGGGCAAGGAAAGAAAGGATGTTGCAAATAAGGCGTAGATTATCATCTCTGAACGAATGTTCACTTTGTAGATTCGCCAACACTTGTCCGCATTCCGTTTGTTTAGGAGCACAAATGTTAATTAACCAAGGAGAAATAATTCCGAGCTTGTTCCTGGCATTGGGGAGTCTTGTTGAATTAAATGTTATTCAGCAGCATAAGTAATCAATTTACGTAATCAGCGTTTTGTGACAGTGTCATTCTTTTCTTACGTAACCTCTGGAACAACCTAGCTTGTTTGCTTAGCAATTTTCTTCTACTTTCGAGTGTGGATTATGCGTTGTGCGACGAGACGCCAAATACTCGGGTGGCGTAAATAACCGGGATGGAAGCAAGGTTTGGGGCTGACAATGGAATTGAATGAATGGACGCCGGGCTGGCTGATGATCAAGGTTTACTTTTTTTGATTATATGACGACACTTGAAAGTGGCTGAATGATAAGAACTAATAATGGGATTATTAAGGCTTCCATATGAGCACTGATTAAGCAACCTGTAACAGTGGATAGTCTTATTGTCCGTTATATATCCCTGTTTGTTGCCTCACACATGTCGATTTGGAATCGATTCCTTCTCGCTTAAGCAACGCATATATGCGAGACACATAACACACACGCATTTACTACTATGTATGCATATTCAAAGCATCCCAATTATTCATTGTAACGTCCAAATAAGGCTAACCATCGTTCATCCCACTTATTTAGTTCCAAGGAGAGTGTTTCGAAGTAAACCATGTATATCTATAAATAGAATGATATAGTGCTTGCGATAACCGGTATTCTAACGCCAAAAGATTTTCTTGTTTGATATGTCTGATGACGCACTCCAATAATCGGCAATCCGCAATCAATCCATCTCTGCACGTGAAGGTGAGAGAAGGAAGGCCTCATCCCCTCATTCTCTGAAACTTTTTCTTTCTTTTAGCAGAATAAACAACCAAACAAAGATAAACACATTCTGTATATTAATGTTGTCGGGTTGGGTTGAGGCTGTAATCAAATGTTCCTGCTTGCAGGAAATAAAACAATGGACAAGAGAACGAAATGACAAAGAATTCAGGGGGTGAATGCGAAGATAAGAAGAATGGTATTAAAAAGTATGCGCAATGCCCTAAGATGTGAGTGGTTGTTGATAATCGATGGGTGTGGGCTTTGGCGAGAAATAAATAAAAAAAAAAAGGGCCAAAAAAAAAGAAAAGAGAAATAGTAATAGACGGCAAAAAAAAAAAAAAAAAAAAAAATCTCGAGAGAATGAGGTTTTGTTTGTATGAGGCTTGTCTCTGATTAATGCGGAAACAGGTTAGTTGGGGGAATTATTGTAGTGTGGCTTATCTAAAAAAAAAAGCCCATCATTTACGCTGTCGTTTCTGCCTCATGGCACTCTCATGCTTCTCTTGTCCCTTTGTCTCCTTCAATGTTTCTGCATGAATCAAAACAAACAATTGTGTTCCCAGTTTTATCCTGATCGGAAGAAGGACAAGCAGATAAATATGTAGATTGCAGATATGCAATGCACTAGACACTGATAAGTTCGTTTTACTTCTCCCCCTTTCCCACCTGATGAAAGCGAGTGTAATTGGTCACGTGATAAATGAATTCGGAAAAAGCCGGTAAATATATATCCAATGATATTTGTTTATTTCTCACGTGAAGTATATCAGATAATAATAAACAACCATGTTTGTCACTATAGGCGCGTTTGTTTGTTCTACGTAAATTATTCAGATAAAATAGATTATACATTTTCCATGGATGATAATCGATTTAGTTTGAAGTTTTAGACTGACGAAATGAAAAGGGAGAGAGAATTTTGTCGAACAGTTGGGCCCATACGTTGGCTGAATCCCGGGCTGAGTAACATATCCGATAGATAGCAGACACCTACAGTCTTCGCTGTCGCCTCAACCAGATTGCGAACTCTTTTTCATCAGCGCTCGGGTTTTCCTGGTAAAATGGCTGAAGATGTATTGATTGGCGGATTATTTGTTGGTGCGCACCCGGTAAATTATGATGACCAATTGAAATGAGAATTTCACGTCAAAGGAAATAATATTGCCCATTGTTGTTATGCTAATTTCGATTGGGCAAAAGTCAAGTGTTTCAAACAAGTACCCCCAGATTATAAGGGGTTGGATTTAATAAGCGAAAAGTTTTTTTTTTTTTTTTGAATTCTTATAAGAAGCCAATCTAGTAATGATTAACACCATACAATAATCTATTTTTAGTCGAGATTCCCAAGTTTGAATGCGTTATGGGCAATGTAGTCCATACTGATATGCTATCTGCTTTTTTGTGCAAGTGATAGGCATTGTGATGCGAGCACAAAAATATCCCCTGCTGGGTGCAATGTATTAGAGTTTTTGTTATTAGACACTAATCCAAACAAAGTAAAGTACCGAGGAGAATGGCTTATGTTAATCATTGTATTACATTTCTATGTAATACACAACCTGTTAAATATGGTCGTAATGCTAGTAACAGTAATTTTGTGTATTATTTCATGCCCACATGGCATTATGACTGGTACACTGCAGATCGTAATAAAAATTTCCCATTAATCGAATCGAATGTGCTCTAACCGCAATGCATACATAATTTCAAAGTATGAATTGACTCGAAAGACGGAAGGA